CACTATTTATACACATGTGTTTATATATAACCGCAAAACAAGATCTGGACGGACACACGCTGAAATGCCAACAGTGATTCTCTCAAGACGGGGAGAACTACGAGTACTTTTATTTTCTTCTTTGTGTCATTGTATGCTTTCCAAATTACCTAGGCGGATTTTATAAAGGGATAAAACGCTGGCTTTTTAAAGTTCCTTAGTAGGCGGCATCTACGCAGCTCACGAGGGTTTCCCGGTTCAGCGAAGCTGACCCAGCCCCGGAGTTATCTGCAGTAGCGCACAGCCCCTGGGAAGAAAAACGGGGTGACCCCGGCTGGGATGGGGGCCTTGGGGGCTCAGCACAGGGATCGGGGCGGCTTCCCCTCCCTCTATGGCCCGGACCCTTGGCCACCACCAGAGTCAGGGGCCCGGGCTCTTTTTCACTGTTTCCTGGGGAACGCTGGGGCTGCCCAGCCCTCTCCGGCCGGGGCCCGGAGGCCCCCAGCAGCCCCCCTGCTCCCTCCACGCCCACCGGCCTTGCGTAATCCGAGCGGGGAAGCCAGGGCAAACACTGGCTGCTGGGCCAGGAGCGCCAAGGTGAGGCTGAATCAATAGCCCTCGTGTTGTTTTTCCTCCTTCGGCAAACAGACAGCAGGACCTCTCCACCAGGGGCCACATAACTGTCCCCACAAAGTGCCCCCCTAGCTCGCCAGAAGCCAAGCTCCTGGGGTGGGGACGCGCTGGGGGAGGTCCCATCTCAGCGGCAGGGACAGTGCCCGGGGTGCCCCCACACCTCCTCCCGAGCGGGGCTCACCTGGGCCCCTGCGAGCTGGGAGGGCCGGCTCACCCCAGGAGCCCTTCCTTCCTCCGGGGCTGCCCACAGCCCCCACCAGCCTCCCCGGCGACACTTCTGCCCGGGCTGCAGCCCCGCCGTTCAGGCTGGGGGGATTCAACACACTGTTCCTGGAGTATTTTCAGTTTACACCAAAATAACCTGACAGCTGATGGCAGGAGGCATCTAGAGCACAGCCCCTCACCCCAGCAGGGCAGAGTCCACGGGGCTCCCGGGCAGGCCTGGAGGCCATAGCCCCAGGATGCCTTGGGCGGCCAAGTTCCAGAAAGCCGGCCTAAGCAATGGCTGGGCAGCCAGATCTCCGGCCTTAGGGGGTGAAGGAACCCAAAGTTCCTCAGTCAACAGAAGATACTGGGGCCCTGGGGGCAGAGACAGATGGGGAAGAGGCCTCTTCTCCCCTCCTCGCCACCATGATAGCTGCCTGTTGGGTCCAGATGTCATGCCAAGTCACCCCCTGACCACAGCGCTGCGAGCCTGCTGGGGCCACCACACGGAGACCTGGTTCCCCCGGGTCTGGCCCCGGTGCCGGCTGCCTGTGGGTGGAGCGGCAGCTGCTCGGCGTTAAAGGTGATTAACCAACTATTTAATTACCTTGCAGCACCCGGAAAGAAAGCAGGCTTCAGGCGCAACTGAACAATCCCCAAGCAAGGGCGTGCTCACTACGCCCGCGTTCCCAGCTGTGGCAGGGGGGGACATGGCTTCCCCAAAGCCGAGATGCTCCCCCAGACGGCCCAGCCTCAGCAGCCTGGAGGGAGCGAGGACCCCCCCCACCCCGTTTCCCAAAAGCGCAGACGCTGAGAACAATGAATGAATGGGCTTCTCCCCACCCCCATCCCAGACTCTGACTCACCCTCTGAGTCCCAGTTCTTGCTGTATTCCTAGCCTTCCGTGATGCCCTCTCACATGGGACCCAGCTCCCGGCCGTGGCCAGAGAGGGCCGTGGGCGCTCTCCATGGCTGTGTCGTCTCTTTCACCGGCCCCAGGAAGCTCCGGACACAGATAGCCTTTCCGGGGCACCCACACTGAACCCACCCCCCGAGGTCTGGCTGCTGCTGCCCAGGCGCTGGGGTCTGGCGTGGACAGGGCTGCCTAGGAAACCCGATCCGGTCTCCCCTTCCGGTCTCTCCTCCCAAGCCAGGTCCAGTTACAGACACTCACGGGCTCTCCTGAAACTGTGACCTCCAGTCCCCACTCCACTCCCCTTTGCTGAGTGATCTTAGATAAGTCACTTCCTCCCTGAGCCTCAGTTTCCTTGGTGGTGAAAACTGCTACACCAGAGGTTTTCAAAGTTGTGTGTGTGTGTTTTTTAAGCCACAGAATACTTAAAAAAAAAAAGAAAGAAAGAAAGAAAGAAATCAAATCTTACATGGAAGCCCAATTACAGTAAATAGTAACGCTGGGGCCACTGTGGTCGGGTCGGCTCAGGCTTGACTACTCTGCTGTGCCCCAGACACACCTGGCCCGCAGCCGGCCAGCCCTCACTAGGCCCCACCGCCGACCCCTACGGCCCGGCCCAAGCCACAGAGACCCCAGCACTCTCCGGAGAAAGAAGGTCTGCCCCCCCCACCCCAGTCAAGGAAGCGGGGGAGGACGGAGGGGAAGCAGGTTTTGATCTGACGGACTGCTGTCAGACCCGTGTGGCAAGCAGGCCGCCCCTCAGTCCAGCCACCCCGCGCGAGCGGCGGGGGGCCTCCGCCAGGCCTCCCTGGGAGACGGTCCCAGCACCCACCTGAGCCGGCCTCCCGTCGCCGCCGGTCCCGCACCTGAGTCTCCGACCGCCCAGGTGTGCGGGCGAGGCTGAGGCCCCCGCTGGGAGCCACCCCGCGCGCCCCCTACAACAGCAGGTCCTCCCTCCCCAGGCGCGGAGGAGGCGAGCCGGCGGCGACCCTCGGGGGACGGCGGGGGGGCGGGAGCGCCCATGCCTCTGGAATTCTCTCCCCATCCCGCCCTCTGCGGGGCCCCGCGGCGCTTCCTGAGGTCAGAGGGCTCGCCCGGTCCCCAGCGGAAAAGTACCGGCGCGGGCAGGGCCGGGGCCGACGCGGGCGCGCGCTCAGGTGGGTTCCCCCGGCAGAGGGCCCAGTCCGGCGGCTCCCCGGGGCCCGAGTCCCGCTCCCCAGGCCACGCGCCCTCGCCTCTTACCTTGGGGAGCCCAGGCGGGGAAACTTTTCCAGGCGAGCGCCGCGGCGGCTCGGGCCCCCCTCGGCCGAGCAGAGAGCCCGGCGGCGGGGCCTGAGCTCCGCGCGCTCCCCGCGCCCGGCAGCAGCGTCACCGCGCGGAGGCGGGCGGCGCGGCGGCGCAGCCTCGGCCCGGCCGGCTACCAGGGCACGGATCGGCCTGGGTTCGGGCTCCGGCGCGGGCGGGGGCAGCGGCCGGGCCGCGGCGGCGCGGCTTGTTTACTCCGGCCGCTGTCAGCCGCGGCGGCCCGGGCTCCTCCTCCTCCGCCGCCGCGCCCCTCCCCCGCGCGGCGCCACCTCCGCGCTCCCGGCCGCCGTCTCCGTCCCACCGCCCCGCCGCCCCGCCGCCGCCGCGCCGCCCATGCCGTCCCGGCCCGCGTGGCCCCCAGCGGCGGCCCTACGGCCTTCCGGGGCGCCTGCCGCTCCCGCTCGGGGCGAGCAGGAAGCCGGCCCGGCGATCTCCAAGCCCTCGCGGGCGCGTCCCCCAGGCCCCACTGCCCGCGCCCCGGGCTCGGCTCTACGCTCCGCGAGCTCCCCCGGCGGGAGGCGCGGAGACCCGAACTCGAAACCGTCGTCCTGAGTTGGGAAGAGCTGGAGGAGCCGCTCGGAGCCCAGTCTCGGCTGGATCCTGGGGCGGCTGGTCCTCTCCCCCCACTTCCCACTCCTAAGCCGTGGTCTGGGCACGACGGGGTTCGGGCTCTGGGTAACTGATCTGGGGCACCCCGCCTGTGATCGAACTTCACAGCAGCGGGCAGACCTCGAGACCTGCTGTCGGGGGAGCCCAAATCTCACTCGTGTGTGTATCTACGCAGACAGGTGGACAAACAGAACAAGTAGTCCCCCCGCCTTTGCGTTCAACTGACCGACGGGCAGCCGGCCAGTCACTTTACATTATCGCCTTCTTAGGTACATTATTTAATCCACATAATCCTTTCAAGAGGACGTTAATCCCACTTTCCAGATAAGGAAACTGAGGCGGACGCAGTTTAAATAATTTGCCCCAGATCCCAAACTAGCAGGCCTCAGAGCCCGGAAGACGTGCGTGGGGCTTCAGCACGCAGCCTGCATCCCAGGACTTGCGACACGCCAGCCAACTCGGCTCCCTCCCTGGGTCCCTGCCCTAGAAAACGTCTGTGCTACTTGGCGAGGATGCCCCAGCCTGAGCCGTGAAAGACGCGAAGGGGAAATGTGGCCAAGAGCTCCCCGGGCTAGGTTATTCGAAGGTCGCGGAGCGGTCCCTGCCCATCCCTGCCTGTTCACTGCGAGATAACCCTGTTGCCTAGTGTTAGCCTGTGGCCTCCTCCGCACAGGCTCGCGGATGAGGACCGAAACGAAGGAAGCCTGCTGCTTCCTGGGAGCCAGGTGCTGCTCTAAGCTGTTCCCACGGAACTCATGCCTTCCCCACCGCGAGCCCCGGGACGTGGGTGTGATACAGTGATTTTCCTTCAGGCACCTTCCCCGTGTCCCTCCACGTGTCACACCGGACGAGACGAAGGCGGGAGGTGTGAAGGGAGACTCCTGACGACTCCCTATGGGACGAGTCAACCGGCGAACCTGGGTTCAAACCCCTGCCGCACTAGTTTATGCCACCTTAGACGCACAGCTTAATGTCTCAGCCTCGATTCTCCCCTCTAGCACGGAGATGCTATTCAACATACCATTTGGACACCCTTGCAAATGCTGCAGGCACCGGAAACTTGGGGAAGGACGGGGGTCCTGAAAGCTGAGCTGGGGGACAAGCCCGGGAGTGGGACCGGTCTCGTCTCCAACGAGAGGCTGACTCTCGGGGGCCCCCCAGGGGTAGCCCCACCAGCGCAGCCACTGCGGGGAGAACAATGCTTCTGCAGTCAGACCCAGGGAGGCAGGAAGTGAGTCACGGTTCTTCCTCAGTCTGTGAGCAAGAGAACCCGCGGAGGGGAAACTGGGACAGGGCTGGCCCCGTCTGGCCTTGGAGCCTCTTCCCACTTCTCCCGGAACCCAGCAGAAAGGTCAGGCCCGCCAGAGAGCCGTGCTGGCCGCCTCTAGGGGCCCCGCCCATCCTGGAAGTGGGTTCCCGGGGGGCGCCTCGGTGGGTCTGAGGGGGAGTGGGAGGAGGCCCTTGGAGGAGAACTCCCCAGCTTCTCGAAGCCCGGCCCTCCAGCCCGGCCCTGGGCAGGGTGTGGGAATCTGGAAAGCACGTTGCTCAGAGGTGCATCACTAGGAGGGGAGGGCCGAGCGAGTGGGCGCCTGTCTCTGCGGCGCCCGGAGCCTTCTCCGCCTCCGTCCCGGTCCTGTTTGAGGGTTTCCCGTGCAGTTGGGCTTGACTGCGATTCTGTGGCCGAGGAGCATGTGGACACCACTCTCCTTGGGGCCCCTCGGGGGAGCCCGCCCTCCCTCTGGAGAGACCTTTATCTTGCTGGCACAGGGCCCGCGGGCAGGTGGTGTTCGCTTTGTCTGTCGTTCCCTGCGGGTATCCATATCCACTGAGGGGGTCAAACTGCTGCTGGAGCCCAGGGCCAGGGGACCGGGGCCTTGGGGGCCCCATCCATCTAGGGATCACAAGTGACCAGTTTCACACAGCCCTCAATGGGTGGGGCACCAAGGCACAGAAGCCGGACAACAGGGAGGGTGTCCACCTGTGGGGAGGAGCAAGGCCCGAGGGGGGAAGGGGCTGTGAATCCCGGAGAGAAGGGTCAGCCAGCTAGGTCTCTGTGTCCCCGGACTTGGGGCTAATCTGGGAGGCTCCGCAGAGCCAGCACCCAGTGAAATCCGCCTGGTCGCCCCCATCGCCAGCACTGCCAGTGTCCCTGGGGAGTGCTCTCCGGGGGGGGGGGGTCCCCTTTTTTTAAAACGCCCTCTCCACTCTCAGGCTCCTCGAACAAAGCCTTGGGCAGCAAAACCCACACCTGGTTTTCATCAAAATGTGTACACCACATTCATACACGCACAGAGGTTCACACAACAAATTGAATTGTTTTCTCTAAAAGGGTGAGATTTGCAAGCTTTTTTGCTTCCACGCGCTTTTCAGGTACATCTACGGTAACTTTTGTAACAAACTAACAAAGCCTTCAAGTCACGCAAAACGGAATAAAGCATGCCCATACTTCACCATCCGGCTCCAGCACACCTGGGTCGCTCCCGGACACTGCTGGGCAACGGCCAGGCCCCTCCTACCGCAACACGGGGCAGGGCCCTGCCAGTTCTGGCTGAACCGCTTTGGGCAAAACCTCCCTTATATGACGGGCAAGCAGGGTGTCTGTGGGTGGTGGGGAGGAGCCGGCGGGGATTTGGTGGTGAAATGGCTCGTCCTGCCGGGACAGGATCCCGGCACGGCCAGCCCTCGTCAGGTTCCTGGTTACTGGGGTGGGTCTGCCGCATCCCAAACTCTCTGGTGGGCTTAAGGGCCCCCCTCTTCTGTGCCTTCTGCCTTGCCTTCAATGTCCAGCCAGTGCTGCCCGCAACTGGGCACCGAGTAGGTGCGCTGGGCACAGGCTAAGCAGACAGACGTTCCCTGAGCGAATGCTGAGCACCGGGCCCTGGTGCCCGGAGCCCAGCCGCTCGCGGCGTGTCCTGGGAAGCCAGCAGCTGTGTCCGGTGGGGCAGGGAGGGGGTGCCCCGGCCGGCCAGCATCTTCCCGAACCTGTGTCCTACTGCGTGGCCCTGCGGCTCCAGCGCGCCCCCGCCTTGCCTCCTCCCTCTTGATCCGGAGAAGTCAGACAGACAAACACGGATTCTTGGTGACTTTTCCCGTTAGTCCTGGCACCGGGAAGGGGTTTCTTGGCCTCGGCACGCTGACCTCCTGGGCTGGATCCTGGTCTTTCGTGGTGCTGTCTGCCCGATGCCTGGGGTGTGCTTAGCAACATCCCCAGTCTCCAAACACTGGTTAGGTGCCAGCGACACCCCCCACCCCCGTTACGACAAGCAAAAATGTCCCTAGACGGTGCCACATGTCCCCTGGGGGCCGGATCGCCCCCAGCTGAGAACCGCCGCTGCAGAGCGAGGAAGAGGGGTGGCGTGGGGGTGGGCGCCCGTGCCGCCTGCAAAGCCCCGGGAGCAGTCTGCTGGGGACTGTGCGCCCAGACAGCTGGCAGCGAGGGAGACACTCCCAAACCCCACACCGCCGGGCACGGCAGCGCAACAATGGGGCCATTCAGTGTTCGGGGCGAGCGGTCTTAAACGTCTCTCCACGACATCTGAGGACACGGCTTTCAGCGGCGCTGACGGTTGCGCGGAGCCCAGGAGAGGGACAGTCGTGCGATCAAGCTCTGTTTCCAGGGCGGGGACGTGGGTGAGACCGCTTCGAGCTGAATGTGTGTTCAGAAGGCAGGTCAGCGGCTGCCGGGGAGGGGGCCCAGGGCGGGAGGAACCTTTGGGGAGCACGGCGGTGCTGGTCTCACGGGCGTGAGCGGACGGTGACACAGACAGAGCCACACACGTTAAAATGCGCGCAGTGGATGCTGTGTTGGTCACACCTCGAAAAAGGTGGTTTTAAAATCCATTTGTCCAAAGTTTTAGTGCCTGAAAGATGTTATTTTGAGGATGCCCTCGGGTGAGGCAGCCCATTTCGGGACTGTGCCGGGTAGAGGCCGTGCATCTGGGGAGACGATCGCGGGACCTCCCAGGAAAACAGCAGGTGGTGGTGTGGGCCTCAGGGCCGTTGGAGAAAGCAGGGGAAGGGCCGCTGCGCTCGGCTAGGCCTCCCCCCGAGAAGGCGGCGAGTCTACCCGTAGCTAGGGGCGGCGCTGGAGAGCTCCTCCGCCAGATGATGCTACCAAACCCGTGTGCCTGGGCCCGTAGTAAGTGGGCTCGGGAAAATAAAATAACAAATGGACTGCTGGCTGCCAGAAAAGGAACACATGATTCTGGAAACCACAGGCTCCTCTGCTAACTTTAATCCCTAAAACAAATATTGCTGGGGAGAGTCAGCCAATACCTGGAGGAGGGCGGGGCCGTCCCTCCGTAGGGCATGGCACCTACCCCTGGGGAGCAGGCCACCCCGGTGCCCGAGGGGCTGCGCTCGGCAGAGGGGGTGGCGGACGCGCCGGGTGAGAGAGCTGCAGCCGTCTCTCCCTGATGGGAGGAGCGCTTCTGAGCTGCGGGAGACCTCCACGGGGTCCCCTGGAGCCCGCGAGGGAGGCCTGGGAGCAAGGAAATGGCTTGTGACGGGGACGAGTTAGGAGTGGAGGGCTGACTGCGCGCCAGGCATCTCACTCCTTCGTTCTCAGACACTGGCTGAGCACCTGCGGGGTGCACAGCCTCCTTCCGTGCTCCCGTCGGGGCCCCGGACGCGGACGGCAGCATGATTAGCCGGCGTGTAAGAGAACATCAGGTCGTGGTCGCAAGTACTCTGGGGGGGAAATCGCAAGCGGGTGATGTTGGAAGTTCCTGGGGTGGTCAGGGAAGGCCTCAGGGAGGAGGTGATATTCGAGCAGAAGCTCAAGAAAGAGGCGAAGGTGTGCAGATCTGAGGTGTGAAGAGAGGGCTCCCAAGGCCCAGGAAACCAGGGGGACACGCCTGGTATATGAGCTCGTGCGCTTGGGGAGCAGACGCTCCGAAAAGCGTGGGGGGTGGGGGGAGGGGGGACGGTGAGGAGTGGCGAGAGGAGAGGGTAGGCGAGAGCCAGACCGTGGAGCATGTGGCAGGCTGGTCAGCATGTGGAATTAAAGTCTCAGACCAGTGGACAGTTTGGGAGAATCTCACTAATTTATCCTTTTAAGAGGCCCCTCAGACTGCCGTGGGGAGGAGACATGTAGGAGGTAATAGCGGAAACCGCCCCCCAACAGCCCAACGCAGGAGTCACCATGGGTGACCCTCCTGAGTTACCTGCTGGCTGGGGGACCGGCTCGGGGAAGCAGAGTGACTTTCACAACATGGTGAGTCTGTGAGCTCCTGAGCGGGCCTGGGGGGGATGGGGCGCCACACGGCGCCCTGGCGAGCCGGAGCCTCCTCGGGCTGCGAGTTGGCCGGCCAGGCCTGGGGGGCCCCCGTGCCCAAGTGCTGGGGCGGGCGGCTCCCACGCTTCCCCCTAAGCCACACCCCCGCGGGCGCCCTTCGCAGGAGAGCCGGCGGGGAGGGACGCTGGGCGTTCACGGTGCGCACGCGCAGAGAGCGCGCTCGCTCCTCCCTCCCGTCGCGGGCGCCTGGCGGAGGGCGCCACGCTCACGCATGGCTGCTAACGACACCGACGCAGGCGCTGTTCCCGCCCCCACTTTACAGACGGAGAAACCGAGGCCTAGAGAGCCTGCTGGGAACTCGGAAGAAGATCCAGCCTGCGGAGGGAGGGCGGAAAGCTTTCTGCCTCTGCAAGAGGGAGCACTGGAGCTGAATCAGCCACTCGTTCCCTTAGACGTCGGGACGTGGGCGGCTCTGCTCTGGTTCCCGTTGGACATTTTCTTGGAGAAGCCTGTTCACCTGCATCCTCCCAGTAGTCCCGGTTGGTACTCCTACAACGTGTGGGCCAGCCCGGCCCTTCCCCACACAGACCTCGCGGGCGGCGGTCCTGTGTGTTGGTTCCCAGCCCTGCCCTGGGCTCAATTCCAGCTCTGAAGCTCGCTTAATGCCCCCTGTGCAAACTACTTAGCCTCCCGGGGCCTCAGTTTCCCCATCTGTAAAGTGGGGTACAAGCTACCCGGCTCACCAGGTGACTCCTGTGCAGGGCTCAGCCCAGCGCCTGGCCGGGCCACCGCGAGCAAGTCGCACCCTCCCTCCTTCCGGGGGCCTGACCACGCAGGCCCTCCCAACTCCCCCACGCGGGCCCACACCCAGGCCTGCTCGGACCCATCCTCTGTCCCCGCTGCGGCTCCCCCTTCGGTGCTGTCAGGCTGTTGTTTTTTCCTCGCGGGGAGAGCTGCCAGCCGCCCGCGCTGCTGTTTGTGCCCAGAGCAGCCTTTGGCGGGGCCCATGAGGCGCCTTGTACCTATTTCGCAAGCGGGCCGCTCCTCTGACCTCTTGCTTCCAAGGTCGGGGGTCAGCACACAGTCCCCTGAGGCAGTGTTTCCCAACCTGTCCACCCCATGACACGCAGAGGACGTGGGCAGCCGGCTGGGGCCGAGGGAGCCAGGCCGAGGGGGGCTGGAGGCTCCGGAACCCACTTCAGACACACCGGCAGGCAGTGCTTTCCCAGGGGCGCCCGGCAGCCGGGCCTGTGGGCCCCGCCGGCTGTGCGCTGCCTCCCAGTGCTGGCCACATCCTTGTGCTGGCGGAGCCTCTCCTCACAGGGTCTGGGCGGGGCTGCTCTTCCTGGCCTCCTCATTCTCAGGGGGAAGAAACACTTCCCGGATAACCTTCTAGGAAGGTGTTCGCCCAGGCAGCAACAGGCCTCTTTATCTCTGGCCACGGGTCTCCAACCTGAGCCCGGTCCGCTCCCCTCCCGGGAAAGGCACCCCCACAGCCTCCCCCCACTGGCCGCGGCACCTGGTCTCTCCTGGGTCAGGTGCACCTTCCGCCTTTGCTCTCATGCAGCCGTCCACCCAGCATGATCCAAAGGTCAAACCCGCACAGCAAACACACACACACAGCACTCTTGCCCCTACCTCTGCTCCTTTTTCACGGTCCCCTCCACGCCTGAGCACCAATTTTCCTTCGAACTGATGGCTCTTTCCGGTGTTCACTGAAAAAAAAAAAGAAAAAAAAACATTCTATAGCCACACACATCTCTCTACTTTTATAGCACTCCCCTTTTGTTATCATTAGGTAGCGTAGTGCACCTTGTCTTTTTACTTAGCAACACAACGTAGAGAAGTTTACGCGATAAATAGGAACAAAACCACCAACCCAACGCAACTCATTGAACTTCGGCTCAATGGGGAGGGTGGTGTTGTTTGGCGGGAACCAAACCGCTGCCTGTGGAGCCGTGGGGCTGAGCGGAGAGCAGAACCCCTTTGAATGCGGCGTGCCCGGGGGTGCCGCCGTGGGCTGGGGGTGACTCAGTCCTCCCACGATTTTCTCTCCCTCAGGGACCGCCGTGCTTCTGTTTGCACCGTGGACTGTTACATCACTCGGCCTTCTCCTGGCTTCAACGCATCATTGACGCGTTAAACCCGCCTCTGCTCTCTTCTCGTGAGCCAACAGCAATTAAAAAGGACTGCCTGGTGCCAACACAATCGTAAACACAAATGCACACTCGGGCAGCGAAGTCCTGTGTCGACAGGAGACTGGAAGGTGGTCATGCCGACGGTCGTGATGATGCAAGTGACCGTGATGGTCCCATTTACTGGGAACTTGCCGCGGGACGGAGCCGTGCTAATTGCCTTGCATGCGGGGTCTTATGCGATCCTCCCAAGGACCCTACAGGGCACACCCCACTGTACACAGGAGGACATTTAGACTTAGTGGGGCTCGAGAACTTGCCCGAGGTCACATGCACAGCAAGTGGTACAGTCGGAACTTGAACCTGTGTCCGTCCAGCTGACCCCAGTAACCCCTGGAAGGGCTGGTGGCTGGGGCAGGGAACTCCCTGTTCTGTTTGCCATCGGGTCCTGGCCGCAACCGCTCCCTGTGGCTGTGCCCCGCTGGGCCGAGCAGGGCAGGTTGGCTGGGGCCTAGGGCAGCGGGTGGGAAGGGGGGTGCGGGGGCTGCAGTCCCCGTTAGGGCCTGGACTCCCTGGGAAGCCGCTCCCTGAGCCCCAGGTGAAAGTGCGCCAAGCCTGGCCACGTGACGCGGCCCCGCTCTCCCACTATCACAGAGAACAAACACACACATGCCAAAAACACCACCTAGGAGATAGTGATCTGTGTCCGTGACTGGAACAATGACTTCTGGGAGCGCCGGTGGAGGGCTGAGTTCTGAGTGTTCCTGCGTGGTCCCTGGCGGGCGGCGAGGTGGCCTTTCACCGCCCTGTCCTCAAACCCTACCTCTCCTCCGCCCCCGCCCTCTTGCCTGGTGCCACCTACTGGCTCGTCCCCTGCCTCGGCTTGTCCTTGCCCCCTGCCACTGCCCCAGCTAATTCCAGGAGGGACAGCGCGGTCAGGGAGGCCTGACGCTGGAGCCCTCGGCCCAGGCCTAGCTGCCACGTCACGGAGCGCGCGTGAGCGGCAGGCGCTTCCTGGGCACTGAGTGGGCAGTGTGGCGAGGAAGATGAGGCCCCAGCGGAGTCCTCTGGGAGCTGGCCTCCGGAACGGCCACCCCAGGGTGGGGGCTCGGCCCTCAGGGATCTGAACACCTGGGCAGGCTACGCTGCTGGGGCTGACTCACGCTAAGGTTCACGTAACAAAACGCCCGGACCCACGCAGTGGCTGGGGACTCCCCTGCCCGCCAAAGACCGGGGAGAGCCCTGGGAGGCACAGACCCGAGGGGGCGGGGGAGGGCACCAGTCCGAGCCCACCTCCGCACCCTTACGCAGACCGAGGCCTGAGAACACTCACACCCTCCCCTCGCCCCCACCATGCCCCAGGAAACCCAGCCCTTTCCGCTAAACCTCTTACCTAAGAAAGTAACGCTGGTTTCCGTTTTCCTAGATCAATAGAATTGAGAGTAAAAACGAAGCTGCCCCCTCCCGTTGGCTGCACGTGCCGTGCCGGGCACTGTCAGAGCTCCAGAAGTGCTGCCCGCCTCCAGCAGCTCCTGCTGCGGCCTTCTCTCGGCTCCCCACGAGGACGGGACTGGGGTGTTCTCTTGCTCCGGGGGGAGCGGCTACTGGGATCTGACCCTTTCCCATGGAAACAGCCTGGCTTCTTGCATCATCAGTGCCACGCTTGCGCAAGCACCGCCGGCACCACCCTCGCGCCTTCCCGACACCTACCTGTCTTCCTCGGTCCCCACCCGAGCCCTGGCCTCCCTGTGGATCCTCCCTCTCTCCAGCCGCACTCCTACCCCAGGGCCTTTGCCCTGGCGGTTCCGGCTCTCCGGACCTCCCTTCCACAGCCCGCATGCGCCTCGGCCCGCTCCCCTCTCTCGGGGCTGACGGCTGGCGTGGCGCCTCCACCGCCTGCGGCACGCACACGTGCAAACAGAGCGCTCCCCGGCCCCCGGCCCTGCTTCGGTTTCCCTCCGAACTCTTCGCCACGGACACTCTGCGTTCTCCTTGCTGGCCGGTGTGTTGCCCTTTCCTGCCGTAGCATGTCAGCTCTCGGCGGCGGGTCAAGGTTTTTGCGTGCTTGGCTCACTGCTGTATCCCCAGTGGCTTCAACAGTGCCTGGCACGTAGTAGGTGCTCTGTAAATGCTTGTTGAAAGAATGATTTCACTGTGGAAAATCTGAGTCTATGTAAAGACATGAAGAAGAAATAAAAGATGCCTAGGATCTCCAGCCCTTCCGGCTGAGCTCCCCGTCTCGGGAGGCATTCAAGCGGACGCTGAGCATCCAGCTGGCGAGGGGTTGTGCAGCGGAGAGGGGCGCTGGGTGGGGGTGGGCTTCCTCCTCTCCGGAAAACACTGGGATCCTGCAAACTCTCCCCGGCACCCAAGTGGTTCTCGGCAATGCAGAGCCCTTGACCAGCGCAGGGCTCCTCCCCTGGCCTCAGCACTGGGTGCTGGGTGGGGAGCCCTCTGACCCAGAAAGCTTGGGAGGTGGGGTGCGGCGGAACCCCCTGTCAGGGCAGAGAGTGGCAGGTGGGGTCGGACTGATCTGGACACTCACCGCCTGGCCGGTTTGAGGAAGGTCAGGCCGCCCCCACCCCCTCGGACGGGTCCCCACTGACCTGCCACAGTGTCTGGAATTCCATCATTAGAGAGAGTTCAGTTTCTGCTTTTAGAACGCGCTCCTGGGAGAGCTGGGCAGCTGCCACCTCAGCCACATAAACCAGGTCTAAATTTGCATGTCAGCCCAGAATGGGTCATGAGGGGGTGTGAGTTTTGGTAGCGGGGGCATGCAGAAGCAGGGGCGCTGCCAGGAAAGCAGGCGGCCTGACGGCACTGTTCTCCGAGATAGGGGGCTCGAAGGCCTCAGGCAGCCGTTGTGACCTGAGAGATAAACCCCAGAGCAGGCGCTGGAGCCGGTTATCTGGGACAGGAAGTGGCTCAGAGAAGCACGAGCCAATGCAAAATCCCCTCTCAACAGCTGCGTAATTTCTCCAGGGAATCGGCCTTCACAGAAACGGGGTAATTGGGGCACCTCACCTCTGGGGAGCGTGTGGGGAACTCCCTGAGGGGTCACCGGGGGCAGCACTGTTGGGGGGAATCACAGTTTCGGCAAACACACTGCACGCGCACCACCATGCCCTAGCCCTCGTCCACGGCAGACAGTGCTAATCCATCACCACACGGCGGTCCATGCGGTCACCGCTGACCTCTCGGAATTCGCACGGGAGGTGGGATGTAATGGCTCTTTCTGGTGGAGGAGACCTCGCTGAGGACGGGGCAAAAGGCAGGTGCCCCCGCCACCCCTGCCCGTGGAGGGTCAGGGTTAGGGATTCCTCAGATGAGAGTGGGGAGCAGGGAGATCCTGGCTGGTGGGGGAAGAGGGGCCTGGAGCTCTCGTCTTCCCACTCCCGGCCTGGATGCTGCCGCCCGTCACCGGATGTTGGTCCAGGGCACGGAGAGCCCGTGGCGGGTCCCATGCCCGCACATTCAACTGAAGGAGCCGTTCCAGCCCTGCGTGCCGACAAGCACGGACTATGAGGTCCCAGCGCACTTGGGTTGACCTTATAAAATGTGGGCTTTCTGGGCTCCGGGAGTCAGTGTGGCAGCAACGGGCAGGTGCTGGGGAGGCCCGGGGCCCGGAACCTGGCTGCCAGCCCGACGTGAGCATTGGAGCTTTAGTCCCTGGCCCGTGGCCAGAACAAACACCCTCCGACACGGCAGCCAGGCCCAGCCCGGGGAGACAGGCCTTGCCTCAGGACGGTCCCCACTCTGGGTGGGTCGTGTCCTCTCACTTGGCCTCAGATGCCCGACCCATCCATGAGGAAGCTGACCTGTGACTTAACTTCGCTGAGCCTCAGTTTCCTCATTCATTAAATGTGGATAATAATACCTCCCTTGCTAATATGTCATAAGCATGGGATGAACTAATTCTATAAAATGCTTGGCGCGGCGCCCTGCATACAGCAGGTGCTCGTGGAGGGCAGCTGGCATCCCCTGAGCCCGTCCTGGCTCCGGGAGCCCGGCCTGTGACCCACACCCTGCCGTGGGAGTCCCCCACCTCCCACCTCCTCGGCAGCCACCAGAACCGAAATACCCTGGCCACGTCTGGAGGGGAGGGAATCAGTTTCTCCTGAATCTGGGGAAGGGCAAAAGGGATTAGGGTGCTATCTCCTTGAGGAGCAGCCCAGGAGTTCTGTCAGGCCGGGGGTCAGATCCGAACCTCTCCCGTCCCCGAGCCCCGAAGGCGGCCGAGGCCTCCTTGCAGCCACCCTGCTGGCCCACTGGCAGCACTGCGGCTTTGGTCCACACCCACCGGGGCTGGCTGACTCCCCGCCTGCCGGGAACTAGGCCAGATGGACGGACGTGGTGACAAGCAACAGTGACGTTTCCCCCACTTCCTTTTACCTGCCCCGCCATGCCTGCTGAGTCAAGGTCCCCTTGGGGACCGACGGAGGGAAGTGGCACGACACAGGAGGAAGTGGCAGGACACCCTGGGCAGCCCCCGAGTGCCAGGAAGGCTTCAAAGAGAAATAAGAAGGTCCGAGGAAAACCAGGGCACACCGCCCTGGCTGGTGTGGCTCAGTGGACTGAGTGCCCGCCTGCAAACCAAAGGGTTGCTGGTTCGATTCCCGGCCAGGGCACATGCCTGGGTTGTGGGCAGGGTCCCCAGTTGGGGCATGTCCGAGGCAACCAATCAGTGTCTTTTTCCCTCTCTTTGAAAGCAGGGCTTTGCGGATGCCTTGGTGAGTAAAACTCCTAGGCCACGAAAGGTAACAGAAGTCTCTCTTTCTCTCTTTCTGAGTCCATCCACCACGCGGTGAGGAAGCCCAGGACGAGCCCAGGCTGAGCCACACGCAGAGGCAGCGGCCAGCGAATGCCCAGCTGAGATCTCTGCTGGTCGCTCATCCCCTGTGAGTAAAGGAGCCTTCAGGGTTCCAGCCCCCAGCCGTCAGGTCTCCCGGGCCCCAGACGCTGTGGCGCAGACACAGGCTGTTCCTTCCGGGCCCTGTCCACGTCCCTGGCCCACAGACCCCATGTGCCTAGGAACGGTGGTCGTTCTCCTCCCCTGGATGGGAGCTCGCCGTGAGTCTGGACTCCGCCTCGGGCACTGTGGGAGGCTGCTGGGTGCTTTTGAGCAGGGCGGGGGGTGGCTGTGGCGCTGGGCTGAGAAAGCCTCTCCCACCGCGTGCAGAGGGGAGAACGCGAAGCAGGGAGGCCCAGGCCTTTGCGAGGAGGGGCTGTGGGGCAAGGGGGAGGGGGCAGGGGGCAACAGAAAGGAAACAGACTTGCAGGTGAGGCCCCGTGATTGTCTCAGCCCAATATGGCAAGTCATCTTCCTTTTTGGAGCTTAGCTTGATCACCTATCAAGTGAGTGAGGCAGAAACAAACAAACAAACAGACAGACAGAGAGACAAATGGCGGCTGCCGCTCCCACTTCCTTGCGCGTGAATCCCCCCAGTGCTCCGGGCCCGGCCCGTGTCCCCCTCTCCCGAAGTCGGCCCCTCCCCATCGCGTGTCCTGCCTGGCACACGTGTGCTGGCTGACCTCGCCGACACTCACTCACTCTCACTCACTGCCAGCCCGCCGCCGCTGCATGACGGCGACCGTGTCGTACGTCCGTGAGATTTCCAGTTTCCCTGCGGGCACACTCACAGGGCAGCCTCCACAGAGTCCGCACCTGCGGGGGGGAAGAGGCGGGTCACGGGTAGGCTCGCCGTCAACCCGGCGAGACGCCGCCTTCTGCCACTGCCCAGTGGCCTTGCCAACCCACTCCCCCGCCTGCTGTGTCGAAGGCCGGGGTTCACACGTGGTGGATTCAGCTTCTCAAAGAGATTTTCGTCTCTCTGTGGGGGAGACATACTATCTCGCTGTCCTTTTAATGCACGTTCCTCTGACACCTGCAAGGTAGACCCTCTTCTGGTATGATTAGTGGCTGTCCAGGTCCCTTCCTCAGCGGCCCCCTTGTTCACGACGTTTGCGGAATTTTCTACTGGGCCCTTCACCTTCTTCTTGATTTGCGGAAGTTCTTCCCACGTTCTGCAAACCAGCCACCTGCTGGCCGTACGCACTGCCTTCGCCTTGCCCTCTCGGACTGGGAGGTGTTATTGAGCTGCACACTCAGGATGCGCATTTTTCATGATGCATATTATAATTCACAAAAAATTTAAATTTAAAGGTCGTTCCTTATTCTGAGGCCACAAAACTGCTCTCCTAGATTTCCTTTTAAATGTGTGGAAATGCTGTTATTCACACGTAAGCCTCGGACCCTCCTGGAGACGTGTGTGTGTGGAGGTAGGTGGGGATCTAATTTTACTGTTTCCGTATGGATCGCCACTTGTCTCAGCTGCGTTTGTAAGGGCCGGTCTTCTCCGCACGGGCCGGCGACGACTCTCTGTCACAGAGCAAGTTCTCATCGGCGCTCGGGCCTGCCTCTGGGCCCTTCCTGTCTTCTCCTTACAGCCTGACTGCAAAGCAGGTCTGTGTAATGTCCTCACGATGTTTGAATGTTTGGTGGGACTCGATGGAGGACTCGAAGGCAGG